ATCTTAATACATATCAGTAAAATGATTATTGGACTGTTCATTTTATTTAACAACGTATGTACAAAAGGTATTTTGACAACAAATATATATAAAAAAAAAACTATGATTTTGAGCTTTGTAGCGGCATCATATTAATTCTGGCATTTTACACATAGTCCACCAGGATGCGCCAACACAAAAGTCAGAGACTTCACATGAGATTTGGGCCATCTTCCGGGGGAAAAGTAGATTACTTACTACTCACGAGCACCCCCTGTGTGGGGAAACAATTTTTTAGGGATACAAACTTTTTCAGAACACCGGTAGAGGGCAGCCGTTACAGACGAACATGTGTTTGTTGTTGTTCCAGGAGCGGCCCGGTCACATGCTCATGTCATTAGTTCGTTATCATTACTGAGGTGCAGGACTGCCTTCCCCCGTTTTTTCACATCATGTCGCCTGCCTGGATCTGTTACTATCTCGCTCTGAAGAATGAAGGAATGTCAGAGGTGAGCTCGTTTCAACTGCTTTTTATGACGTGGTCTCATTTCGGGTCTCAGGCATTTTGGGAATGAAGCCGATATTTCAGTTAAAATACATAAGTAAAAATATTTATCCAAGTATATGTAGTACTACCCCCTAACTTTATGGATGATTTTATGGATTTAATTTTACATATTATACTTGAATAAATACGGTATCTTATAGTGATCATGAGTTTCACTCTCATTTGATGCACACACTGATAAATCTAAGAGGTAACATGAAAAAAAGGGGGTTATAGAGTCTTGACCCTTAAAACTGGTTGTGGAACAGAAACTGTGTCATATGTTTTTTTTAAAAAGAAGTGATTATTGCTTTAGTTTACAGTACAGTACTATAAAAAATATTTCATTTTTTTTCATGTTGTTATAAACAAGGCTAAAATAAAATTCCTGCATGAATAATACGAATGAATCTACAATGAAAGTGCATTTCCTGCCTCACTAACGTGTCCTGCTCTATGTGAAGTGTTTTCTTCTCAGTACGCTCATGATCTTGTGTGATSAGATGTGGCAAATGGTGGTCCGAATCATCACAAAACTTTTAAGTGTACAAATAATACAGTATAATAATAACTTTAAATTGTAATTACATTTTTGATGAAGAAGAAGCAGTGTCACCCAGAAACTAATCTTGACCCTGTCTTTGTTAAAATCTACTTCATGTTTATTTTTCAGTGACTGAAAGAGGTGCGGTGATACAGCATCTGATAGGCTATTTCAAAATATTCAATCATGGTGCATTTCCTGCCACATTGGTCTTTCCCCTCTTTAGGCGATTTGATCCTTATTTTTACCATSTAATTATAGAACTTCTGATKGGACTGTATGCTTTCATCAGGTCTTTATTCATTTGTTTTATTCACTCAAAACVCAMTCACTTACAGTTTTTATTGATTGGTTTGATCTGTTTGAAGGAACTGGGAACCTCTCAGTCTTCATCATCACCATCTCAGCAGAGCAGAAGATATCTATTGCAATGTGTTAACCCATTCTCATTTGATTGACACAGTTTTCACACCCTTTTGCAAAACAGTTAATGCAGATGTCGTTCATAAAGTCCAAACTCCCTTTTAGCTGTCAGTATGAAACACCGAAAGCACCTGTTTGACACTTCTTCACAGAATTTTTCAATTTGCAATCAGTCTGCAGGCCTGTGTTGTTCTTAACAAGCATGGATCGAGGAGGTCTAAGGCAGATGAGATGCAGAGGTAGAGGGGTCAGAGGAAGAGGAGTCCATGTGCGAGGTGGAGGTATAGCTGGAAGGGCTCAGGTTACAGCTGAAATTCAGGCAACTGTGATTCAAGTCGTAAATCATGGCCTTTCATTTAGARAGGCTGGACAAAGAGTCCAACCTGTTCTAAACAGAAACACTGTTGTATCCATTGTTAGAGTTTTTCAACAGGAGAACAGGAAATGTTGCTATACAGTCATTCATGTATTTTTTTTCACATTTCATGTATTCTTTATAGAATGGAAAGCCTACCAGTCGGTGGTGGTAGAGGGAGAATTTTTAATGCTGAGCAGGAGGCAGCCATTGTCAACATGGTTCTGGCAAATAATATTGAATGTGATGTGGATGAGGCCATGTCGCCCATTCTTCAAGAAAGTATAGACTAGAAGAGACAAAAGAGTATCACTTGTGTCTATCTTATACTCATAGTATAAGCCTACAATAGATGTTTGATCTTTACTGGAAAAGACTGTTTTTTTATTTACATAATTTCTCACACAGTAAAGGATTTTCTTTTTATTTCCATGTGTTCTCTGTTGGAATATTTCATTTGTCAGGCACAGGCTGAAAAAAATGTAATCAATAAAATTAGCATCAAAGCATATCTGCTTCTGGATGCATTTTTTGCAAGAGGGCAAATTTGACTGCCAACAGCACCGGCATGTAAGCTACATACAGTCTTAGGCTACAATGACAAGCAATGGTGCACTGATTCACACATGACTGCTGTGTTTTGCATTTTTTTGCCCATTGTGTACTGATTGTTTGGAGGCGCTCATACACTGTGTCAAAGTTGAGTTGTTCGAAGGCAAAGTTTGCTTTTGTTCCATATTTTTAAATGTTTTGACACAGTTGTTGCCTTTTGCAAACAAAATGTGTCATTTTGACCACTGTGTCAATGTTTAGGCCTCTGCGTTAACTGTTTTGAAAATGTGGATTTTGAGCTGACGGCTGCGTCAAACCAATCAATAAAAACTGTTATCACAAGTTTTTTTGAAGTTGCCTCATTTCCTAAAAAGTTTCTACACATTAAATATGGTTCTGCAAAATGAGTGATTTTAATTTGATTGCATTTTGTTATTTACAATATGCCTGATTATACTGAGGAGCTGTGTCTCTTGAAGCTTTTATGAGGATTGTTGCCTTAAATTACTCTTCTGTATTGCAGTTTTTTGTTTCTATTTTCATGCAAACCACTCAGAT